CTAACAATTCGATTATAGCACTTGGCATAGGTTGGAAATGGATCTAGATTCGCTTCGATCTTTATAATGGAAGTAATGATAACTAATTATACGTTAGGAAACGAAATTATAAGTGAAAACAGTTTCAAAGATTATTCGTCCTGTGACTAATAAAGCTGGAATTTACTGTGAACATTGTGAAATAAGTTTTCCGCAGTAATTTTCCATAAATGAATTCTAGATTTAGCGTTGACATAGGGTAGAAAGGTAGGTAGGGTAGAAAATAAATGATCAATACTACTACATGTAACCTTTTTGTTGCTGAGACAGTTCGATATTGTTGAAAGTGAAAATTTTCTTGTTCACATTTCAGAGTTGAACATTACAGACACTTGTTTTTAAGTAATTTTCAAGTTTGGAACGTGCTCGCGAGGATCCGTCGTTAACAAGCTCAAGTAGCTTCCTATTTATTTTTGAACCGAGTTGGACTTTTCTGTTTAGTGTGATGGATTCCGTGATAATTCGAAGAAATTAAAACAATAATCATCCAATTAGCGCAGCGCATTTTATAGCTTTTAACCAACTTAAAAAATGGGTAGTTATCAGATGTGTACATCTTAATTTGATATTGATGGAGTTGGTAAATATTTGAGTTTTATCATTTAGCTTCAAAGCACGTGGGCAATAGTGTATATGTATGTTAGTAATTTTGAATTAAACATATGAAAAAAAAACAAATTCTATACAGTAGTTTTCGATATATTCCACGCGTATAATATGTTGATAGGAATTACATTTTTCCAAATAACTTTTTATTTTTGTACAGCTACTAAGTTATTAAATGTAATTTACGCGTTTGAATATTTTAAATAACTGTTTTGTGCTGTACTTATGAGCTAAATCAATGTTTATATATGTTTCCGACTATGTATTAAGCTGACTTATTTAAAAAACATAAAGAAATAGTTAATCCGTCTTTAATTCATAAAAAACTGTGTTACTGCAATGTTTCATAAAAAAATTACAGAAAATATAAAATAATAGCAGGTCCTATAAACAGTGTAAAAAGATTGATTAGGTTTATGTGAATACAGTATTCGTAAATAAATAATAATAATAATTCAGTGGGGCTACAACCCTATATGAGTCTTAGCTCCGTCCCCGGTCCTGGAGACTGCATCCGTTTCTTTGATCTTTCATAGACAAGTAGGTGGTGGTTAATTTTTTTGGATTGGAGTATGCCGGTTTCCTCTAGCCGTTTCCTTTGTACGAGCCTGTTCTAGATGCATACATTGAAAGCCCATTGGTGCACAGCCGAGGTCAGGGATGAGAGTCGCACGCTGAAGCCACTAGCACGCCATAAACTTTTTGGGTCGGTTTCCTCACGATGTTTTCCTTCACCATTCGAGCGAATGTTAAATGCGCATATAGAAAGAAAGTCCATTGGTGCACAGCCGGGGATCGAACCTACGACCTCAGGGATGAGAGTCGCACGCTGAAGCCACTAGGCCAACACTGCTCAACCAATTTTTTTCATATAAAATAATTATTTCATAATTTTTTTTATATACAATAGCTAAATTAATTTTAAATATGACAATTTAAATATTGAATTATAAAGAATTAATGTTACCTAATTCAAATTCCGCGAGCATTGTATAACGTGCTAAAAATTCTAAAATAAAACCCGTGTACACTTGAAAATCCCGCGGAACGGGGAATAAATATGTTTCAGTGAAACTCTCAAATTATTGTAGTTTTACCGAGTGTACTTGCGCCGTACTTCAGCGTCTAGTACTATTGGATTAGAGGTGGACTTGAAAAATAAGATAGGAATTATATTAGATAACAAAGGTTCTGTATTCTTGTTTAGTTTTGTAAACAAACTTGAGACAAATAGCAACTGGCGTGACCCGCTAACGCCAAAAAAATTGTTTGATAATGGTCACGTGACAAAGACGTGAACGACATCCCCAGGCACATCATCAAATCACCGAATTAGATCGTCGTTTCTTGTAAAAACAGCTAAGGAGTGGAACTACTTGCACCCTTCCACCTTCCCTAGACAATTTATTATGGGTTAATTAAACCGAAACATCAGGTGGGATTGTGGCCAAACTGTCCAGTTTTGTATAAAAAAATCGTGAGCAAATGTCATTCCGATATAAATTCGGTCAACTACTGGTTTAACAAACTAGAGCTTTCCATGGTTTCGCTTTGTAGAATCAGGTTAACTTCTCTCTTCTCTTCGCTCTTATCTTTTTGGTTAAGCCTTAAACTGGCTAGTATAGTCGCAGCAACATGGCCAGAATTGTTTGTGAATAGTTTCGTAGCTTCTTCGTTTATAGCTTCTATCCTATTGAAAGTACATACACGAACTTACCGTGGAAAAAGTGACCAGGTGAATATCTCCAATTACATGACTTTCATTTTGATCTGACGCAATCTCTCTACAAGCCTTTAAAAGTATGAATTTGTTTTCCTCACGTCTAATTGCATTTTCAAAACTTTTGATTTAAGGGTATAAATCAAGACTTGTCAAGCTTATCAAGTCTCTAAGAGTTCTTATCGTTAATCTTTGTTTGTCAATGTTTACATTTAACGAAAGGCAGTGTAAGGTTTATTTGTTTTCGTTTCAAATAAAATCTGTTTCCAAAATAGTTGTATTTTTCAAAATATTCCATTATTGCGGAACTCCAAAGTCGGACTCTTGGGTACCTTCGTCACCTGTCAACTCCTCACTTCCAAGAACTCTACACGAAATTTAATTTGCCCCAACCTTGCACGGATAAAAGTTAATTTAATAAGTGATTTACTGAAAACTCCTTTTACCAGGTAGAAATGTACTTAAATACTTTAGTATTACCAAAATATAACAATAGAATTTTCTTTTTCAATATATTTAAGCTGTTTAACAGGTAAACACGTTTTTTATAATAATTGGATATTGGTTCTAAACAAAATCAAGTTCCATTTAAACAAATCACACAGTCGAAGTCAGCAAAATTTTTCCCAATTTCAAAATAATGATATGGGGAACAATGACGGGTCATAGTCTCTGTAAACATCTTTGTCCTTGGCGTGAAGACAATTCCTCATGCAGAAGCTGTTTCAGCGCAGAGGAATGAGTAGTCCTGGAATGGCTTCCCAACGAAATCCTCGGAGCAGTGGGGTCGCTCCGGAAAGCCTGCGAAGGACACTTCTGAGCTTGTGGAAGGAGCTGGGCTGGTTTAATTAGTACTTAACGCAGAACGGACTAAATGGGTATCGTGTGAAATCTGAGTCTACACTACACTACACACACTACCCAAAATTTTCTTCAATCCTAAGAACTGATTTATGTATCTGTAAAGTTTGTAGGTGTCAAAGAATCATTTTTCTCTACGATTTGTTATATTTCAATAATACTTTACAAATCATCTAAGATCCTTGAGAGATCCTAAAGCGATCTTTCAGGCTAAGATTCAGAAAAGAGACTTATTGCGTCTTCCCGCACGTCATAAATGTGTTGAATTGTAGTCTCTTTGCTGAACCTTAAGCTTCGGCAGGAAAATATAGTTTGGTAGTAATGTAATTTTCATACAATTTCATATTGTTGGTGGATCACGTAAAGCATTTTTGCCTAAAGGTTGTCGAAATTAGAATTTGTATGACAAATTTAGCAACTTGTATACAGCTCCGTTGAACCTAGTCTACCACTAAACAGGCATAAATTATTCGGGATATTACTATTATTAAGGCAAAATCTAGGCAACCTGGCTATTACTAAATAAAAAGCATTGTCCTTTTTATTAACTGCGCGACGCGAGCTCATTATTTTTAATTGTTTAGAAAGGACAAGATATAATTTTGTATTCTTGAAAAAGTCTCTCATGAAATAATTATTTTAATGTCTAGCTTAAATTAGAACGTCATTTAGAATTTTTTCGTCTTACGAATCTAGATTTTAATTTTAATAATGAGATTGTCCATTATAAAAGCAATTAGAGCCAAATAACAGTTTAATTTACAAGATAATATATTTTTAACCTATTCAATAATTATAATTAATTAAATCTACATATTCGGTATGTCATAGGTACATATTATTATTATTAAGCCTTTATTGACATTAACACATATTTAAGTTTCATAATAAAACTTAATCGAATACATCATATGTCCCGTTTTTGGTATCAGCGTGTCCTGTGACACATAGGCCTCCAACCAACTGCTCCATTATTTTCTGATGTTTGCTCTTCTTGTCCAAGTTGTGCCTCCTATATATAAAGAGATATCGTCTGCCCATCTCTTGCTATGTTTTTCTCTTGTCCTTGTTCCATCGCGTGGTTGCCATTCTGTAATTATTTTTGTCAAATTCAATCTGTTATCTCTCGTCATGTGCCCGGTCCGGGTATATCATATTATATTCCCCTAAAACAAACGAATGTTGATTTTTCGAATATATACTAAGGTTGTTTTAGGCAATTTTTCGCCCAAAACTACTGACTGAGATGTATATCTGATAATATTTATTTTAACACATCGTTGTATACAGAAATATAATACAATAGACATAGTTAAATGAAAAGGAGGGTGACTGGTGACCTTACCTCGCTTTCGAGCGATCTCTTCCAGGCAAACACTGTAAGAAAAAAATTTGATAAGGTTAGCAAGAATGCAAAAATACATAATACAAATAGTTAATTAGCCAGAACTTAAACAGAAACAAAAAACTAAATTAAACAAAGCATGAAAAAGAAAAAGTGCACATGAATCACGATAATCTTAGATCAGTGTTACATGAGTTAGTACGAAAATTAGGGATACGGTGTGGACAGGTAATGTTTGTACAGTAGAGATTTAAAGGAAGATAGAGAAGAAGATATAATATACTAGCTGACCCGGCGAACTTTATTCCGCCTTAATGGCAATAAATAAGCAGATTGTTTTTTTTTTATCGGAAAAAATACAAAAAAAAAATTAAATACCTACATTAATCATTCATTATTATTTCTGTATTTTAGTACATAGGTTGCTCTTCACTTAAGTACCTTGTGATACACGACTTTTTTTGTTTTATTATCAGGCGCAAAAACAAACAACGCAGATGGTCTTCCGACCCGTGAACATGCCACGTATAATTGACCATGGGAAAAACATGAATGTTCTAGATTTAAACTACAAACTTTTAAGGATTGGCCTTGTGATTTGTTGATGGTCATGGCAAATGCAAGACGTATCGGAAATTGAAGTCTTTTAAATTCAAACGGCATATCGGTTGGGATCATCGGGATGCTCAGAATGAGAACTTCCTCACCTTTGAATTTTCCTATCATTATCATAGCGTAGTAAATTACATTGTTCATCAATTTTCTAACCACTAAACGCGTACCGTTGCACAGTTTTGGTTGCCAACCTTTAGGCGTAAATTGTGCGGTGGTAAGCCAGGCACGTCCAAAGAGTTTAAAAATTCAATTGGATAGTTGGTGGCTTCATCTTCATTTGTGACGCAGTCAATAGATTTGAATGAATGCATTGTTCCAATGATCTTATTTTGAATTATGTAGTTCAGGTCATCTACATCTTTATTCTTCGCCGCTAAAATTGCTCGCTCACTCAACCATTCATTATTTTTGTAGTTAGAAATAATGTTTGGAAATACATTGTTGATAAGTTCGTCTTTTGATGAGACAAAATTACAGAAATTATTTGGAAATGATATTAATCCGCTTGATTCATCGACAGGTACTTGACCATTACCGATAGTCAGCAATTGCTCCGAGAAATCTTCAGCAGATGTATCATTAAGCAAAAAAAAAAGTATCTTATGTCCGTCTCCTGGCTCTAAGCTACCTCCCTACCAATTTTCAGCCAAATCTGTTCTGCCGTTCTTGAGTTATAAGTGGTGTAACTAACACGACTTTCTTTTATATATATAGATACATATAATTTCTTGTATATAAGGCGTAGGTTAACAAAATAAAACAATTAAAGGTCGAGAGTTCAGAACTTGGCGGTGTACTTCAAGTTTTACTATCGCAATTAAGACTTTCTCTTGTAGAGGAAAACATCTCAGGGAAACTGGCATGTCACATTAAAAATTTATACGGTTTATCCGTTATATGTTCTCTTCTATTGTTCTAGAAGCCCGTGGAAATAATTTACAAAATAACTATTGCGGACTAGCGGACCCGACAGACGTTGTCCTGTATGATATTTCAAGCCATTAGTATATGAAACTAAGTATGATAGTACCGACTGCTGCGCCATCTGCTGGGCTGATATGTGAATCTAAACCATCCAGGCCTAATCCTAATCACCCAAACGCATACAAAAAAAAAATCATTCAAATTGGTCCAGCCGTTTAGTGACAGTGAATTCAGTGACATACACACGTTCAGCAGAATTATATATACATAAAGATATTATATACCTACATATTAGCTCATAAAGTTTCTTCTTGTCTTCGCCCCTTTCTAAAAGTTTTTTGATGTAGTGTACTGATCTAATTATAAGTATAGTCTATTACATATTTTACTTTTTTTAAATAAATTTACTGATTATTATTTTATCAAAAATGCACGCATTCTTTCAATGTGGTGGTTAAGTATTCTTAAATTTTATAATTTTCTGCGCAATTTTCTTAATTGTTTCTTGCGCGTGATGCCGTGACCAAGGGAAATAGGGATTCATTTTTGTATATATACTAGCTGGCCTGGCGAACATCGTACCGCCTAACAGTCGATTCTTTATTTTTTTTAAATACTTATTCTGCTATTCGGGACAACGGTCTAGCTAGTGAAAAAATAACCTTCCCGGAACCCCTCCACTAACACTTGAACTTTATGATATGGTATTAAATTTCAAATTGCCTTTAAATATTATTACGAATATTTTGTATGGGAATATAGAAAAGTATTGTTTTTTAGACTTTTCACTCAATTTTTTTTAATTTTTCTCTCCGTAAGAACCATCCTCGTACTTCAAGGAATATTATAAAAAAAGAATCAGACAAATCGGTCAAGCCGTTTTCATGTTATGTCGTGACAACGGAAAACGGGTTTCATTTTTTATATATATAGATATATATATATATAGAGTGCTCCGTAGTTCGAGCCCAGCGTGCCCAGAAAAATAATGGGTACAAGAAGGGGTAATAGTAAAATTTACTAGATATCTAAGGCCATAATTTCCCTTTACTTGACTGTATGTCCTATAATCCCTAGATGGGACAGAGGGCATCCACAATGAGTCTCCATCGCGTTCGATTGAGCCTCGCATTACACTTCGTTCCGACTCTTTCCGGTTCTTTTTGCCCCATGTATATACGATGCTAGGATGGCTTCGGTCGGCCGCGATTCTTTACAGGTTCCAATCAAGCAGCTGCTTGGAGATATAATTAGAATCTCTTCAGAGTGTATGGCCTATCCATTTCCACTTGCGTCGCTTGTTTATCGGGGTTTCTTGGCAGCGCTGCCACTTCTTTCACATCTCGAGATGGTAAGTTAAGGTAAGATAAGTAAAAAGGCGTCTTGAAAAAGTAAAAAGTAATAAGAAATAGGTAAGGTAAGAAAGTATACTACTTAACATCAAGAACACTAACACACAAATATTTGTTTATAATAAGGGCAGAGTCACACTGAATAGTGGGAGAAAGACTAAGGCGGTGGAAGGACCTCGGTAGGGCTCCCAAAGTTGTTCGTAAGAGATCTTCTCGGTCCAGTATATACCCGGAATACGGGGAAGACATCGGTTGACGAAGACTTGGAGCCGGTGCGAGTGACCCTTTAGCAAAACCCTTATTTCAATTATAAATTAATATTGAAATTGATTAACACTTACGCCGTTTACATACATCACCTCGACTATAAATTCGAATAACCTAAACCCAACAAATCTTGAGTTTTACCAATTACCATGTAAATTTGGGAAGTTCGCGAAATAATTTAACGGGATGTAGATGTCGGATTCAAAACAATTTATATGTTAATTCGGATGGTATGGACTGTGCAGAGTTGCTGTTGATATATTCTATGAGTTATTTAGATCTTGGGGAGTTATTGATAACGATACTGAGATTTAGTACTGTGCGATTATCAACCTTAACCCGTTTGGCAAATGAACGTTCTATATCTGCAATTAACATAAGCTCGTAGGAAACAGATGACGATCAAAATTGCTATGTCCGAACGCCCGCTGTCCAAGATTTTTCTAATACTCGCTTAGAACGAGAAAGCATCGCGAGGAAAATATCAATGACGTGTGAGACAAAGGTGAATGATTGAACTTAAGAGTTTACAATAATAATAATTTGATTTAATATCCCCCTTTTTTAAGTAAATTCAATCGGCTGTAACGCGAAAACGCAGCGACGTAGGACCTTAATTGACTGGACCAAATCAATTCGTACTGACGTAAACTGTAATCTACCTCGATGAGAAACTTGCAAATCATATACCTAAATGGTCACCAGCTCCCTTACTATAAGTGTTTGCAATAAATTAGCGGCAAACACAGCTTTATGTTTAAAATATGCCTCATTCATATAGCACAATGCACATATAAATAAATATTTACACTGACTGACTGTTCTCTATCGAGTGTAGGTAATACGGACGAGAATACACTCGATAGAGTGGCCTTTGAAAACTCCCCGCAATTTTGAAGCGCCAAGTTTTTTGCAAAATATTTGCATTAAATAAACAAACAGCATCGACCAGCATGGGCATGCGGAAATAGGAACACGCGAACACATTATCCAGATGAATCACGCTTAAAACAAAAAGACGAATTCAAGTACAAGCACGCTGCCGTCGTAACAAAACAAAAGAATTATACAATTGCAACAATTGCTACAAAATGGCCGATAGTTATCATAGTGTCCATTTTGATACTGACGAACTGATGATACAGGATCGATTAACGTCGCAGTTGAACAAACTTTATTACCAAATGCGCTCATGAGAGTACTAGTCATGCAAACAGAACTTGCTACAAACATTTAATCTGATAGTACCTCATATCAATCTAAACTCGCTGAATCAGAATCGATTAACATGAAATTTCGAGTTGTAATCGATTTGGACTCGAATTCTTGGCAACCGGGAGCGATCTCAAACTTGGTGAGAGTTAAATACCGCCCCTGATTGTATCGTATTCAATCTTCAGGCAGTTTAGAGATAATTTTGAATCAACCATCGCTGAACAAGTTCGCAATTCGCTTATGGCTTGATTGTTATCAACTGGGTTTAAGGTAAGAATTGGTTTTATAAACGAAACATTTTATGGATAAATAATTGCATACAATTTTCGGTTCAAAGATACTTTAATTCTTAAAGAATTAATTACATTCAGTTAGTTAGGAAATTTAGAGTAGGTTAGCTATGTACATAGTGTTATGAAATTATTTGAAAATAAGTGCAGGTAGGTCGCATCGATGTTACTATGTGACTAATGAATAGTAATAATTTCTTAGACGCTCACAGATATAAATAAATTCTAGAAGTGTCTTTTTATTTTTGTTATTTTATAGGTATGTTGTTAATTATATATGCTTTTAAAAGATTTTTAGATTCAAATTTCATTAGTTTAGCGTATTATATATATCATTGCGTATAATCTACCGTAGGAGGTTCACTCAACGATGGTGAAAGTCGCATCACATCTGCCCCTTTCTGATACTACTACACCCTCTCTGTTATTCAAGGAGCCAGGTGAGAAATGAGCATCCCGCCCTACGGCATAAAGAGACTCCCAGGATCGCTTTCGAATACTACCGCGGCAGGGATTGCATTTTTAATAATTCTAACAATACTTCTTCTTATAGTACCTCTCCATTACTGGAAGTTGGACGTCTTGAAGCGTGTCTTGTCCTGTGCCAGATGCAGCAACCCTTCTTCAGTCGCAATACCCATCCACTCTCGAACGTTCGCAAATTTTTCAATTGTTTCGCAATTTCGATTATTAAATACTTGGTGCAAATTAAATACTCTACTAACAGATAATGAAACAGCTGTCACTAATTTGTTTCATTTAGCAGTGTGAAGAAACTGTAACTCGTACGAAGAATCTGAAAAAAGAATATAATGTTTCCATATCATATAACAACACCCATTATAACTAAGGTTACGTTAACTATACTTTCAATAGAATATTTAGTTACTACATCTATTAATTTCTTTTTATTTATACAAAATATACAGTATTTACAAGTTTAAATTTAGTATTTAAACTTTTTAAATTTGTTTTGATTTTCTTCTTTCTTCTTTAATTATTTTTATTATTACTTTATAGGTTAAGAAAATTGTTACTACATAATTCTAAATTGATTTATTGG